CACATGATTTTCATGTGTGAGCATCTCTTCATTGAGCCATTTGTCAAATGTGCCCCCAGACACATGTGGCCAGGCCCTGTTTGTACAGGGCAATGGGACACTGGGCAACAGGGAGGCTCAGACCACAGCCTGCCCCTGGGAATTCTCAGAGACAGAGCAGGAGGGCTCAGGGAAGACAGGACGAGGACCCACATAATTCTGACGTGTAATGAGAAGATAGATTGAATGGCGGTGTCCGGAAAGGGTCAGAGGGCAGAGACAGGAAAAGAGCTACATAGAAGACGCCACATTGCAACGGGGCCTTTCAAGAGGAGCGGTATTTGGTCAGGGTTTGGGATGGAGGATACATTCTTAGCAGAGAAAAACCTGTAAGCAGTCTGGTGCCGAGAAAGTGTACAATTAGTTATTCAAACCCACTCATCCCCTGGTTCCCAGTGAAGGCTCTGGCAGGTTCTGGGCCATATGGGGTTGGGGGATGTGCCAGAGAGTTTATATTCCTCAAATGCATGCAGGAGCAAAGCCGACTATTGTAAGTAGCCTTACTGCATGTGCCAGTGACATTCTAAAGGACAAATGATCAGAGATGGAGTTGCTGGAACAAAGGATGTGTGCGATTCACACTGTGGCCGCCTTGTTACTTGGCCTCCACACAGCCCCTGTCAGTTCTTTTTTTTTTTTTGAGCAGAGAGAGAGAGAGAGAGAGAGAGAGCGCGCATGACTTGGGGAGGGGGGACAGAGCATCTGAAGAGGCTCGTAGAGAGACAGCAAGCGAGCTGATGCGGGCTGGGAAGAACTCACAAACTGTGAGATTGTGACCTGAGCCGAAGTCAGGTGCTCAACCAACTGAGCCATCCAGATGCCGTGAGCCCCTGTTGGTTCTTGAGTGACATCTCTCATGGCTCTCCACCTTCTCCATCAGGATCTGTCCTCTGCCCATATAGTGAGACATTCATGCCCAAAATACACTTGGCATGGGGCCAGGCCCATAGAAGCAACTTGGAACATGCTAGATGTTTTTCTTCATCCTCTGGGTCTCCAGGGAGCCTTTCTGGTTCCCCCAGGAGCCAACTGGGCTTCCCTGTTCTGTCTCTCTCCATAATTCCTGATGCAAGAGGCACCTGTCTCCTCCCCCAGCTGGGTGTTCCGGAAATCAAGTTCTAGTTCTCCTGTTGCCTGTGCTCATTGCCAGCAGCTGCTCAGTGCCTGGCTCAAACAAGGGCCCAGCAAGGGTATTTTTGTGTGATGGTTGGATACGAGGAAGGTGTATCCTGTCTGTCTGTTCTTCCCTCCCCTCAAAACAGGGCCAGATTGTCTCCAGATGTCAGTAGGCCACCGCCATAACCACACCGCAGAAGCTGGTATCCCATATACCTTACAAAGACAAGGAGGGGCATACTGACAGTACAGAAAAGAAAACTAAAGCTCAGAGTGGATGGGCGGTAAGGCTGGCTCACAGAATATGATCAAGGTGACACTGAGATTAGAACCAGTGGGGCTGAGGGGCGCCTGGGTGGCTCAGTCGGTTAAGCGTCCGACTTCGGCTCAGGTCATGATCTCATGATTCACGGGTTTGAGCCCCATGTCGGGCTCTGTGCTGACAGCTCAGAGCCTGGAGCCTGCTTGGGATTCTGTGTCTCCCCCTCTCTCTGCCCCTCCCCCCACTCACACTCTGTCTCTGTCTCTCAAAAATGAATAAACGTTAAAAAAAATTAAAAAAAAAAAAAAAGAACCAGTGGGGCTGAACTTCCACACCAGCTTTAGCCTTGGTGTTGTCCTGGCTTGAGCAGGATGACCGTGTCCACACTCCGTGCTCTGCTCTGTTGGGCTGGAGGGGGTCCAGGGCCCCTGAGCCGGGCAAGCATGTCTAGGTTCAGGGAGTCACAGAGGTGTCAGGCTCCAACCACACTTCTCTGTCTGTGTTCCATCCTTCCCAGGCTCCCATCCACAGAGAAGCCCCTCACGGTCCTGCATGTGAGCCTGTACCACCCCACGCAGGACCCAGACACCTTTGCCAACGTCCCACCGAAGCTGCAGCATGACACCAACCCGCTGCTGGTGGGGCGGGGCCCGGAGGCCCACCTCCAGCTGCGGCTCCCGTGCCTCTCCCGCAGACACCTGTCGCTGGAGCCCTACCGGGAGAAAGGTGGCACTCCCCTGGCCTTCTGCCTGAAGGCCCTGAGCCGCAAAGGCTGTGTGTGGGTCAACGGGCTGACTCTGAGGTTCCTGGAGCAGGTTCCACTGAGCGTGGTCAACAGGGTTGCCTTCTCCGGCATCCAGATGGTGGTCCGCATAGAGCGAGGCACCTCCCTGGAGGCCTTTGTCTGCTGCTTCCATCTCAGCTCCTCGCCCCTGATTCACAGGCCCCAGGCTGAGGAGACTGATGAATGGGAAAGCAAACCCCAGGAGCAGCCGCCCCCAAGTTCGGGGCAGCGAGCTCCAGATCACCCGGGGCTTCACCACGGCCCTTCCCATCCAAGCCCTGGAGGAGGAACAGAAACACAGCTCCAGGAGCCCCCAGAAAGTATGCTCTGCTAGCCCCGCCAGCGGCCCAGAGCAAGGCTTACCTGAAATAGAACTTGAACTCTTGTAGCTACATCATGTGAGGCTGACAAGCAAGACGGGCCTGGTAATAATGAACAGATTCTGCAAACACGAACAGCCTGGGCTGGGGGAGCACCCTCCATGGTTACAGCTACGTAAAGGAACGGGAACTTTGTATACGTTAGAGGCCCTGAGGGCTTCTGAGGGCCTTTCTCAGCCTTTCCCCACATTTCCCCCGGCCTGTCTGCCTAGGAGTTACTTTATGTGGCTAATTTCGTGAGCCGCTTAAGAGCTGGAGTCTGAGGTTGCACGAGGAATGCATGGACACATGTACCAATTACGTTCGTGGTAGCTCGGGGTTACCTTGGGCTTTCTAATACCCACAGGCACTCAGGGCTTAGGGAAGCCTGTGTTTAATAAACTGTAAGTATTTCATTAAGCTGGCATGCCCAGTAGGATTCCCTGATCGCCAGACGGGGTGCGTGCACGCCACGTTGTCACGCAGAGGCAGGGGCGGGAAATACAGAAGAGGTGTAAGAGGAAATTGGAAAGGTGGGGGCTCACATTTCTGGAAAGGATGTGGGCAGAGCTCAGGGTTTCCTGGGGGCGGGGAGCTGGGGGCTGGGCCTGCCGGGAAACTCACTGTCACACGGTCATCCTCACACTCCCTCCCTCTGTTATTTCTGGATCAAAGCCTTGGCTGATGGGAGGGCAAGACCTCCAGGGAAAGGTGGCTTCCCAGAGCAGAGAAATCTTTCAAGACTAAGTCCGTGAGGGTGGGGGGAAGAGGTTGTGGTAAAATTCAGCTCAACGGTAATTTTACTCAAAGTGGGTCATATACCAACGGGGGTGGGGTGGTCTTTCCAATATAAGGGACTAGTTAGTAAGCCATGCAGGTTAAAGGTGGGACAACTTCTCAGTGAACAGAGGGGCTGAGCACAAGTACCTACTCTCCACATCATCTCCATTCCAACTCCCCAGTGGGGGCTTGCAAGCATCATTGAGAAACAATGTTCACCCGTGCTGTGAAGGGAGGGACCTACAAACTCAGATGGCCATCATCATCTTAGACCATGCTCTAGGATACTGGAGACACTGAGCCTGGCAAGAAGATTCAGCTGGTCTGCCAGGCACTCCCTGAGCGTCCTCTCCATGGGGAAGACAGCAGTGGGCAGGAACCAGGCCTGTCCTGGCTTGGGAAGCTTCCCTTCTAACGGGGAATAGGACAAGTACACTCAGATTACAGCAAAAGGCAGAGGAGGGCAAGGGCTGTAAGAAGAAGGGGTGTCCAATGCTGTGAATGGCATGTGGGGGCCCCCCAAATGGTCCTTCACTCAGTTATTCAACAAACTTTCACCAGATGCTATGCAAAGCCCCAGGCGCAGTGAACTAGGCTGACAAAGTCCCTGCCCCCAGAGAGTTTACCTGGGCTCATGAAAGACCCCTGTTGAGGAACTAATCACTGAATTATTTGATCACCCCTGTTCTTGGTGCTGTAAACATTGTGTTCTCTCTCTCTTCGGGCTGGTGTTAACATTAGTTCTACCATTAAGTGGCCATGTCTGGTGAGTGCTTACGTGTGCTTAGCCCTCTGCTAGGAGCTATGTGCCTTGCCCAGCTGACTCCTCAAAACACTCAGATGGACAGTGGTGTTAACACATCGTACACCTGGGGAAATTGAGGCTTAGAAAAGGTATCTTGCCCAATATCATGCCACTTACTGGCTGTGTGATGTTGGGCCAGGGACTTAGCCTGCTCTTGGTCTCCATTTCTCCCTCCGGCAAGTGGGTAAGATAACAGTCACCATTCACTGGTGATGTTATGACGGTCTTAGGAGCTCATAGTGAAGCATCTGTCACATAGTAGGCACTCAGGAAGGGTTAGATACCATCATGAAACCTGACAGAGGGAACGTGATGGGTCCGTACCCAAGGGCTCACCTGCAGTCTGTGATTTCCTGATAAAGGATTTTGCCTTTGCTGCAGCCCTGGTGGGCAGTCAGGAGGGGGCTTTAACCTGTTCCTTGCACCAGAAGGCCCGATATTTAGAGTTTGTTGGATGGGAGACACACGGTCGGGGCTGGCAAGCAGAAGAAGCCGTGTGCTGGGCGGTCTGATGAAGCCCACTGTTTTGGAGCTGCCTTTGTATTTCACGCATGGGTTCAAAATGCAGCGATGATCCCTCCGGAGACCAAAACGTTCGCCAAACTGTGTATAAGGGAGCAGATACAGAACAGGGAAGCCACAACCTGGAGACCACACCTGAATTTCAAAGGCAGAAAAGAGGAAGCCGGCTGGTGGCACGCTACCCCAGAGTCCCAGGGGGCAGCTCCCGCTCCAGCACGGAACCTCTACCACTCAAGGGGTCCCCTCCCCCCCGGAAGAAAGTAAACCCTAGCCGCTGGGGGTCTATGAGAGGAAACGAGTTACCTCCCCCATGAGGAGTGGGAGATTCAGAGGGAAGTGTCTGGGAGTCCCTCCGGGCCCCAAATGAAGTGTGCAGCAGGCTGCAGGATGCCTGCCAGACACGAGGCAGGAGGGAGCCCAGACACGTCCGGCTCGTTGTTTCGGACTCTGCTGATTCACAAACTCTCCTTGGAAAACTCACCGCTTGCCTCGTACCAGGTTGCAGGGCAGCAAAGCTCCGCTCCGTGCTAGATTCCATCTTTCTTGACCAGAGAACCATTTAAATCACCAGGTCCCTGCACCCACCCGCATTTGCACACTTGGCCTGCACAGGCAGCCTGAGCAGGTTGGAAAGACCCTCCCAGAAACCTCCTCTGCATTCTCTCAGCTCCCACACTCAGGGCAGTGCGCGGAGGCGAGGGGGTACATGTGCACGCACAGACACGGGCCACGCCCACCCGCTGAGGCGGCTCCAAGCCGGGGCTCTGCAATCGGGTGCTGCCTGGGTTGGAATTCCTACTCCACCGTTACTAGCTCTGTAACCTCGGACAAGTGAATGAATGTCCCTGTGCCTCTGTTTCTTCTTCTGGAAAATGGGGAAAGTGACAGCCAGCAGTGGTGGTAAAATGAAGCAGTGCATATAAAGCACCTAGTGTGGTGCTTGGCGCATAGTAGGTACTCAGTAGAGTAAGCTTTCACTGTCCAATTCGGTGGAATGAATTGAATGCGGGTTGACACATATACTCAGCATAGACACACATGCGTACGTCTGCTACAAAGGGCTACAACAGTTAGCCCTAGAGCACTACGATTCTCTGAAGGCATGTCCGGAAATCTAGAAATCACCCCTTGTGCCCTTTAAGACATTTTAACCTTCACATTCCTCTGCTCTTCCAAGAATGGGAGTCTCCCCAACCTGTCTGTAAGTGGGACACCGTAACCTCCCGAGCCCCATTGAGAGGCCTGAGAAAATTAAAACTTAAAATCTTAAGTTATGGGAAACTGAAACCTAATCAAGCTTAACCAGCTTGTTCCGCTTCTGTACAATTGCTTGGCGCACCCATGTATTCCCGATCAATCATTATTGCCCACTGGCACGTATTCTTGATCAACCATTGTTGCCCAGCACATCCGTGTACTCACGATCAATCATTGTGATACCCATACCCCGGTTGTGGTCTGACCTAAAGGCGGGAACCAATCAAATACTGTTAAGTGTCCAACTTTAAGCACCAACCAATCGCAGCTCTGCCAACTGTAAGAAGAATTCCTGATTCCCCATGACGTATTGTGCCTGTCTAAAAAGGGGTGTAAAAACCCCTCTCTCAGGGCCTCGGCGTCACCGGCAACGAGGGCGCAGAGGTCCAGGTTCGAACCTGCAATAAATGACCCTTGCTGCTTAGCTTTGACTCTGGACTCTGGTGGTTCGTTTTCGGGGGTCTCTTAGACTCTGGGCGTTTCACCATTTCCAGGGAGACCTGAGCACTCCACATAAATGTGCAGGGCTCTGAGGCGTGAGCAAGCATGGTGAGGATGTGATGGCAGGACAGCAAAACCGTGGCTGTGGCCGGGGGCAAGGAAGGGCACCGGACACCCCAATGCTGTCGCCGTAGTTTCTGTGTCTGTCTCCCTGTGAGACTTAGGCTCCACACAGATGAGGACCACGGGTGGTTTGCTGTTGTGTTCCAGGGGGCCGTTGGGGAGCTGGTCAGAGAATGGATGGACAGACAGACGGGCAAGGTGAGTTGTTAAGGCGTGAGCGAGGCAGGTGAGGGCATGGCCAAGGTTTGTAGTGGCAGGAGGAGAGATGGGTCGGCCAACTGGGGCAGCAGGGGCTGAAAGCCGTGGGCAGACAATAAATCTCTTCCAGCTCCGGGCCTCAGTGGGGAGAGCCCAGATCCTCCAGCTGGGGCAGAACACAGCTTGTGCTTCTCTCTGGGGCTTGAGCCTCTGCAGCCCAAGCCCGCCAGGATGCTGCATTTTTGAGATTCTGTGAGATGACTGCTGGGGAAGGTCGACAGATGTGACAGGTCCCCATGTGACTGAGAGACAGCTCTCAGCACTTCCTAGAGGCACATAGGTACCTCCAGGAGACCCTAGGAGGGGCTCCAATCACTAGGAGTCTTGAGTTGGACCGGCAGGATGGAGTGTGGGCCCCCAGCCCCCCACATCTCCTTGGATCTGGTTTGATACCTCTGCTCCACGCCCATATGATGGAGGCCACCCTCCACAGAACCTCCTCCCCCAGACACTCACTAGGAACACGCTGCCTCCCTAAACCGACACCCCACCTGCACAGACCAGAGCTGCTCCTTGAAGGGATTCCCTGTGGCTTGGGAAGCTAAGATATCACACTGCTGAAGGCATCAGTATTTCCAAAGAAAGGGCTGGACAGGGTAACGCTTACCCTGCAGGAGTGAGTTTCATTGTAGAACGAGCAGCATTAAACGTTTCATTGTAGGCCAGGGGCGCCTGAGTGGCTCAGTTGGTTAAGTGTCTGACTCTTGATTTCTGCTTGGGTCATGATCTCACGGTTCGTGAGTTCTAGCCCCGCGACGGGTTCTGTGCTGACAGCGTGGAGTCTGCTTG